CCACCACTACTGCTGCTACTGCTACTTGCTACTCAACATCACTATCAGGTCACTATCACTGATTGCTGCTGGATTTCCATCGTGCTTCGGCTCCAGGTACTAGTGTGAGAAATGCCGACAAGTCTTTCGACTAGCTTGTGTCGCAAGCTTATCACCCCCTTGAGCCTAAACCTCGAGGCTAAGCCCTGAACCCTTATCCACTTTAGAAAAGGAGCCTTCAACTTTCAATTCTAACGCAGCAGGTTCCTGCCTGGCAAGGGGGGCAAGGCCGGTACGTTCCAAAAGAGATAGGCGTTAGTCTCCATAGGCGTAGCTCCGTAAATGTGAGTTCCGGGTCCTTCTTCTAATGGGAGATTTGTCCCTCCTGCGGCGACCCAAGTCTCTAGACTTCGGGCTTTAGGGCTTAGGCTGATGAGCTTTCGGCTTCACTTCCGGTTTTAGTAATGTAGGGGCCTAAATAAATACTAACTCTATTTTGGGTGCTCCTTATTATAACTATGGTAGAATGGGCCTCAAAACCGTGTTCCAATTATTGAGGCCCCTATCTTATCAGGCTCGATACCCTAAACCCTAAACCCTAAACCCTAAACCCTGATGATTGTACTCCGGTCTTTCCGGTGAGGGCCCAGGGCCTCAACCCCCCTTTTCTGCAGGATGGAGCCGTGGGGTTAATAAAGGGGCCTCAATAACTAGGGTTTAGGGTTTAGGGTTTAGGGTTAACTACCTACATTATTTCGGGGGGTTCCTTGTCAAAACTCTCGTATAATGGGCCCGAAAACCCTCTTCTACTTATTAAGGCTCTTCTGTTCGGGCTGTTGGGGTTTAGGGCTTCAGTTTCGGTACAGGGATTGGGAGTTATGGCAGAAGAGGTTTCGGGTTTGGGATGGTTTTGGTTCTGGCATTTTCTCTGTCGTCTCCCGGCCCAGCTTTCTGCGATGCCTTGGCAAAGTCTCGAATCCGCCAGGGCTTCGTCAAAGGTCTGGCACCACCACGGCCATTCACTCCCCCAGGCCTGCAAGCGGGGGCTGGGGGGGGGAGGGGGGGGAGGGGGTAGAGTTTAGGATGTTCGGCCTTAGGGGCTTGTTGGGTTTGGGTATCTGACAGTTCTGCAACGGGGTTTGCTGTGGAGTGTGGCATTGTATCGGTGTGACTGCCAGGGTTCTTACGTCTCTACATGGGCTTTGGGGCTGTCGGGTTTTGAGGCTGAGCATTTGGGGTTCAGGGTGTCCGTGCAGGGGAGGCGGGGGATCCTAGCAGTTCTCGCCTACGGCCCTATAATACCCGAAACACTAGCATTCAGCGCTATCAGGTCTTTGGGTTCTGAGCTTGCAGATGCAGAGCTGGTGGATGCTAGGGTGCAGTTCGTAGGCCATTCTACGGTTTCGGACAGGGATTTGGAAGCTGCTGGCATAAGGGACATTGCTGGGATGATCATGCCGTTGAAGGAATGCCAGATCTTCAGCTTACCTCAGATTCCGACCTCTTACCCTTTCCCCAAACCCTACGAAAGCCAAAGGCTCCTATATATGTTGGGACGTCCTCGGTCTTGGAATTCTGAATACATCCCTTGTGGCTCTGCATCTCGCGATCGGCAACTAGGGCATAAGGGCGTAGTGGTCCAAGGCGACATAACCCTAAACCCTAAACCCTAAACCCTAAACATGAAGCTACACGACCCAGCTCCGACCTTTCGACCGTCGGTTTAGGGTTTAGGGTTTAGGGCCCTACACCCCCTAAACCCTCAGCCTCCCAAAAGCCAATCTTAAAGGCTGATCGCGAGCCTGAAATCCTGACATCGTCCTAAACCCTGAACCCCTAAACCCCTAAACGCCAAACCCCTAAACCCTAAACCCTAAAACCGCCCTGAGATTCAAGCAGAGGTCCTCGGATAAACCCGGCAGTGGCCGCCGCCCAAGCCGCAAGGGCCGCTATGGAGGTGCGTCTTAGGGGTTAGGAGTCTCTGGGTTCTGGGTTCAGGGTTCCTTGTTTAGGGCTTTAGGGTTTAAGGTTTAGGCTTTAGGCTTTAGGCTTTAGGGCTTTAGGGCTTTAGGGCTTTAGGGGCTTGAGGCTTTTGGTTTTGAGGTGTAGATTTACATGTCAAGTGCTTTAAAGTTAGTTTCGCTGCAAGCTTTCTGCAGGCCGCACTCATCGTCGTCGACGTTATCGTCGTTGTCATGGCTGAAGCCGGATCCAAAACTGTGGCATCTGCGTTTACATGTCGTGTTGTCTTGTTCTGGGATATCTCTGTTTACATAGAGTGTTGCCTTGTTATGGGATCCTGATGTAACATGATGAAACAGGCTGTCGAGAACCGAGCCTGGAACCCCCAGCAGCCTCGGGGCATCCAGGTCGTAAACCTAGACTTGCCGGCAGCATTCAGCGCGGAGCCATGCCTGCCCTGTTTGATCACAAGACTACATTAGTCATCTACGCCCTAAGGGCAGACACTGCAATTTCAACTTTAAAGCCCGTAAACCTGCAACGCTCGATACGCAAACTCGAACAGACCCCAGCCCCTGAGCCCTAGACCCAAAACCCCAGACCCAGTAGCCCTTCAATCCAATGACACCAGCTCTGCCTCGAGAGGTGTCTGCAGACCTGCAGATGCGCGCCGAAGCGGCGCCGGAGGCGTGACCCAAGCACTGTTCCGGGACAGATGGGTGCTAACATGAATGTTTTGCAATTGCAAACATGTTCGGGAAGCTCATGTGCTGTTCCTGTGCGTTGTAGTTGTGATTTATGCGTTGGCAGTGTTCTGTCGAGTTCTATCGGATCTTTCCGGCTTTTTCGCTGGGCTTTGGGGATCAACGGGCTGTGGAAGGTTGGATAAGGTCGAAGAAAGGTTTAGGGTTTAGGGTTTAGGGTTTGGGGGCAGTGCGAATCGACCACATTTCGTGGGGCTTCGGTCGTGTGGGGTGCTCGAAGATGCTGCATTCAGCTCTTTCAGTGGTGCGACGGTTTAGGGTTTAGGGTTTAGATCAGTGCCTGCGGACTCTTGTGTTAAGATTGGTTTGCAGGCTTAGTACGGTTTGGTCATGTATAGATGTTACCCTCCAGCACATGAACGGGGGAAACCGCAGCAAGACTTTTTGTTCAGCTAGTAGCCACACAACTATGCTTAAGTTTGTTGAACCCAGTCCCCTTAAAACCCTAAACCCTAAAAACCTAAACCCCATACCCGAAACCCCTAAACCCTGTTGAACCCCCCCTTTGAAACTGAAAGCTCACCCTTGTTTCGGCTTATGAGCTCGGCAGCTAAGTTCAAGGATGGTCTTCGACAAGTTCTTCCTGACCTTAGGGCCGACCTTCCGGCGAGCCCTTAGGATTATGTCTGCGGTTTAGGGTTTAGGGGTTAGGGGTTTAGGGTTTAGGGTTTTAGGGTTTAGGGGTTTAGGGGTTTAGGGTTTGGGGTATAGGGTTGAGGGGTTTAGGGTTTAGGGGTTTAGGGTGTCCATGATAAGGGTCCTTGTACTAAGAGCGCTAGCAGTCTGATTCTTGTAGGACCTAACTGCACGTCGTTGCGATGCTGGTGCATGCGTCAAGCCTCAGGACCTGAAGGAGTCAAGCAAGTCATGTGCGCCCTTGTTAGCCGTTAGCCCCAATTCACATGGCACTTCCATGTATGGGCTACATGCGTTTCAACAAGCCTCCGAGTAAGAGTAGATGTGGAAAGGCAGTTGACAAGCCCGAAACATAAACACTAAACTCTCAGCCTCAAACCCATGCTAAAATGCCGCGGTCTTAGCATATCTTGCCTTTCAAGCCAATGAGTACCCGTGAAGACACAGGCATAAGACAGGGCTCTGCATCGAAATCGTTATTGAAAACCTAAGCCCTGTGAGTACCGGCGAAAGAGATTGAAACACCACCATCAAAGAACCCCGAAAAAATACTTTGCTTCCCAACCAGCAGGACACGCCAAAATGGCAAGCCCCTTCCCTCCTTAAAGCCTAGTCCTCATTCGGTAAACCTAGCGCATAACTCCTAAATGCAGGTCGACGTCACAAGCCAAGCGCCCAGCGTGCCCGTGCCATTGCTGCCGCCTCAGAGATACGCAGCCTTGGACTTTGTGGGTTTAGGGCAATTAAGGTTTGAATGCCTTTCAGGGGTGTGTAAAGCATCTAAGAACGTTTCAGGTTGAGGGCCTTTGCCCCTCAACCCTAAGCCCTGAGGCCTTTGCGAGTTTAGGGTTGAAGGACGTCCCGCTCTCTGGATGTAGGGTCTTGGGCTGAGCAAGTCTGTTGGGGTGTCCGGTACAGCTTTGAATGCTTCAGCCGTCCAGGTATTTCGATCGGTATGGCATTGCCTAAGCACGAACTGCCGTGTGGCGGTGAGCTTCTTCTCATGGTGAACTCAGAAACTCAAACTGCACACGCTAGACCTTTGCCTGCAATCCTAAACCGCAAAGCTCCCACCTCATTTACTGGCCCTTGTAAGAACCTCTTACTATACAGATACAAGGCCCTATCTATCTGTGTATATATATATATAGATATATATGTATGTACACACATACACGTATATTCCGATATCAAGAGGGCTTGGGCTTTACGGGCTATGAGTGCTGAAATCCTGGACTTGCGCAGTTCTCATTCTGTCTTGTTGTTATTTTCTCGAAAGACTATACTGGGTGTTCCAGCATCATGGTTTCTATGAAACTTGGGTGGTTTCCGTGATGTCATTACTGTCTCGATGCGTTGCTTACGGATCAGTGAATCAGGGCGACTGCTAAGTGGTCTCACACATACGCAACTATATCCAAACATGCCGTCAACTGCAGTTCAAGTGCCTATGAAGCCGTATTCGCACCGACCACTACCACTGAGCGGTTAAATGTACTATGACTGATATGTGAGGTCTGTACGCCCTCGCCCGGCAGCAGCCCCTGTGGTTGAATTCCCAGCGTATCTCGGCTTTATGGACCAGGGGGTTGAGGGTTTGGAACCTCCAGCTGGAGCCCTGATCCAACTTGTTTCGGCCTCACTATTCGCGATTTCCCACACCTCGGGGTTTAGGGCTCTGTATCCGGATCCATTCGGTTCTGAACCTACCATGTGTAAATAATGTACTCTTACCGGGTCCTCGTCCACAACACCTTCTGGGTCCATGCACGCACGATGGATCAGCTCGACCACTTTCTCTGCCCTTCGCTTTGACTTGCCCTCATCGTTGAGCTGAATCTTGTTACTGTAGGGGTTTAGGGTTTAAGGTGTTTACATCCCCCCTAACCTGAACGCACCAAACATCACCAAACAACTCTACATACAGCTCCTGATTCGGGGAAGAGCAAGCTCGAAGCCTCTTCCCTCGAGACCATTGACACCCCAACCAAACCGTCAAAGTCCGAAAATCGTGAAGCCCTACATCAACGGCGATAATGATGGTGACGGGAGGCTGATAGTAGGGATTACAAGTCATATCATACTGATAGCAAGCAGAGTAGTGAGTCGGGCGGATGCCCGCGCTGGCGGGGACTCGATAACGCCATGAGTAATATTCCTGCACTCCCTGATTTGACCTTTCCCCGGCAAGTCCAAAGCTTATCCACAGAGACTGAGGTTGTACCCTGCTGTGTCGCTGCCTCAAGCCCCACAAGCGCCGCTGCCTCCTCAACCTCCCCAGCCCTCTCCGGAGCAGCTACAAAAGCTCCTGGGCTGCAACTGCGCAGGCCTCGTCTTCTTCAAGGTTCTATAAGGATTTTGCCGGAGTCTTAAAAGGGTAATATAGTAGGGTTTTACAGGGGCCTTTGCTGAAGGGTTCTATTGCAACGACTTCTTTACAGGTTCTGTTCGGGTTCAGGGGTTGGGTCAGAGTGTCGGTTTAGGGGTTCAGAGCAGGGGGCTCGATGATCAAGAAAAGGGATCCCTGAAACCCCTTTTCTCGACCTCTTGGTCATGGGCTGTTTATGGGTT